ACGCGGCTCTGTCGGACAACACTTGGGTGCAGGTGTCCGGATGTGTCCGGCTGACCGGCGCGGGGCCTTGCCCGTGCACAGGGAGCAGTAACCAGCAGAGGGTAGTAGATGGTTGCAGCCGTCCTGCTGCAGTTTGGGCAGGGAGTGCCCAGAAATCCCCTAATCTCTCTAATCTCCCCTAATCCCACCCTGCTTCTACTGGGCCTTGCCCCCCGTCTCCTCCAGCCCACCTCATGCCCTCTGTCTGGACGTGCAGCCCCAGCGATGCCTGTCCTGTCTCCCTGTGCCGACACTGCGGATGTCGGTCCTTATCCCCGCAAGCCGTTCTTGGGAGAACAGTGCGACTCCAGCAGGCGTGCAGCACCGACTGCAAACCCTCAGGGCAAGGTCCCTGTCCCAGGACGTTGCCCATCCTGTCACCTGGGACCCTTGGGGATGAAAGCTCAGCAGAGACCCACCAGGAGTTCTCATCTGGAGAAGAGAGGGCTCATGGAGATCAAACTTCAGTTTTCCACTACCTAGAGAAGGGTTGTGGAGAAGGCAGATAGACACAGCAGTGCGTGGCAAGAAGACAAGAGACAATGGGCACAGGTGCCACACGGGAAACTCTGATGCACATAAGGAAAATAACCTTCCCTGGGTGTATGGTGCAGCACTGTGACAAAACCCACAGTGGTGGGACCTCCATCTGTTGAGGGTTTCCAGACCTGATGACACCAGAGGTTCTGATCAACCTGACCTTTGGAGCTAGCCCTGCCTCAAGCAGGAGGTTGGACTCCAGACCTCTGCGGGGCCCTTCCACCCTATGTCTTTCTGTGACCCTGTGAAACCCAAACCCAAGCATTTTCTCCTGGCTTTGACCAGGAGCAAATGGCCTCCATGGGGTCCATCACACTTGCCATAGCTCAGTACCTCCCCTCGCTCTGATACCACTTCTACAACTATGGGATGAAGAGAATAAAGATAGGCTTGTTCTAGCTTTATTGACTAAACAGCGTTGCTTGGGCGCAATCCCTCGCCTGTGGCACATCCAGTTGAAAAGCCGCAGCAGCACAGCACCCACTGCACGCCCATGGAGAAAGCAAGCAGCGTCCTGACCCCCACGCCTCTGCGGGGGAGTGGGACCTCTGCCAAACGAGGGAGCCAGGTTTCGGTCTCCACACCAAGGGTGGTATGTGAACCCGCTGTGCTACAGCTCCCGACCCTACTACTGCATCCCTGAGCCTGGGCTGTCTGCTACCACCTCGCCAAACCCCAACCACACACCCCAGAGCAATGGGACCCGCTAGAATTTGGGTCCCAGGATGGGAAATCTTGGGGGCGAGTGATTTTTGGACATTTTTAAAGAGCTTACTCCCCATCTCAGCTTCAAAAACATGGTGTAAAAACCGAGGGTGTGATGAAGAGGGGAAAGTGTTCAAGTTGAGAAAGGAGACCAAGTCCTGCCCCACAAAAGGATTTCTGCCTTTGTTGTGTTTCTTAAAACACTACCCATCTCATTTACTAAACCACAATGTTTATAACATTAAAAAAAAAATCCAAAACTAAATTCCCTGTGGAGTTCATAACTCTAAGCTGCAGTGAGGCTGATCTTGTGGGGGTATGTCACACCGGTCAAATGAGAGAATCACAGAAAGAAAGTCAAGAGTTTAGATGAAAATGAATTAAATCTGGGAAGCTGCCAAACTGACGGCTTAATGATCCACAGTGCTGCTAAAAATCCAGGGAGTAGGTGAAAAGTTGTTAATTATTCAGCACTGCTGGGCACGCCTGTTTGGAGAGGTGCCATGTAAAAGCACCGATAGGGGATTCGATAGGGTACGCACACGTGTTGTGCTACTGACACACCCAAGAAGGTCGGTCCTGGGCCTCCCAGCATCAACCGCTGCTTTTGAAATGGTTATCTGCCGCGGGAGCACGGGGAAAGCCCGGCCCAGCAGATCCACAGCGCTCAGCTGGCCACAGCTAGGCCATGTCAGACTGCACCGAGCAGTTCCTGCCTTCGTGCTTTAATTGCAAGCCACGATTGCAAACATTTCCTATCCTCCCTCTACCTCCTGACCCCCAGCTCTGGTCACCCAGTGCACCTCCTCAGCCCCAGACAGGGAATAAACTCTCCAGCAAGGCCAGGCATGGGTCAGCTTTGATGTTTATTGCTTGCTTGGTGATGCGGCATGGCACGGCTGAGCACACATCCCAGCGGGATGGGCAACGCGGAGCAGAACGTTTTGGGCACACGGGCCTCGCTGCGGGTGGGTGTGAGCTGTCTCCCCGCCGGCACCCGCACCAGCAGGGCCCGATGGGGTGATGCTGGGACTCCCACAGCTTCGGGGTGCGCTGGGTCAGGGCAGGGAGGAAGGGGCTCGTGCCGTGAAGCAGCGGGTGGTTACTGATGATGGCGAGGATGCTCACTGCTGGTGCCGAAAGGGTCGGGCAGCACAGGCTGGTGTGCACAAGCCCTGAGCGAGCGGAGAGCCCGGCTCTTGGTGCCTCACTGCGAGTGGACGAGCGCCCCAGCGCCTTGCCCAAAGCCAAAGCCCTTGGGACCGAAGTTCTTGGCGTAGCAACCTGCAGAGGACAGGAGGAAGAGATGGGTAAGGCCAGCAGCTGAACACGAGCAGGTCGTCCTCTTGAAGCAGGCCTAAACAGGACAGGGATTTGTATTTGTTGGGAAAACAGAGAGGCCCCAGGCACAGCAGGAAACTGGCCCGGGCTCCTCGGCCAGCCAGCACAGCCAGTCCCTATAGACAGCTGCTGGGGCCACCTCCTCCCAAACCTCAGTCCCATCCTGCTTCCTGCACAGGGGTTTTCACCCCCTGCCTCCACCCTTTGGAGTCCGAGACAAGCAGCAGAAGGTGGCACTCACCTTTGCAGTAGATCTCCCCGTCTTTGTCTGCCAGGGTGGTGGACTCCAGGCTTTTGCCACACTTGGCACAGCGGAAGCAGGACTTGTGCCAGGACTGTGGGACAGGAGCAGAGCCCAGTCAGACAACACCCGGGGACAGGGCGGCAGTGCTTTGGCTACCAAACAGGGTCACTTTTCTGTTTCTGACCCACAGCGGTTGGCAGTGAGGTCTGAACGGGATGAAAGCTTTTCTCTGGAAAGAGCGGTCCTCCCAGCCCCGGGGAAGGGAAAGATATGGAGAGGAAACATCAGGTGTGGTCACTGCTCCCACGTTGATCTGGTTTCAGAGAGCTTTCACCCCCACTCACAGAAGCCATTTGTACAATAATTTGTAAGGAGCAATCACCCCCCTCTTTGGAGATTGTCCTCTCTCAAGCAGCATGATAAACCCCCCAGTTATCCAGCTGAGATCCACTGCTGCTGTACGTTAGCCTGGGGGGTGGCAGCAGGGTTGGGACACCTGCCCCTACACAACTACAGCTCGAAGGAAGGCAGCAAACAGATACTAAGAATGCAGAAATCAGACAGTGTTCAAAAATAACCCCCCTACACACGGCTCTGCCAGTCCTCTGGGGATAAATGAGCTCACAGCCTTTGAGCAGACCTAGAGTAGCCAGAGCTGCTCACGGAGGAATTTAAATAAACACTTTGGAAAACATGAAACCTTTTTTGGAAGAAAATGTGAAATTAGGGGGCTGGAGGAGGAGATAGCAGATGGAGTCATCCAGCAAACATTAGCACATGAAATACATGCTCTGGAATCCTCTCCGGAGTGTAATTGCTTTGCCAGCTTTGGTTCCCCATTGAGGCCAGAAGCCTACCAGGAAGCCCAGATCATGATTTTAAAGGTAAGCTTGGCTTCTGACCCTCAGTGTGTCCATCACAAATCCCTGCACTGCCAACTAGGGTATGATGATGCTGGGAGGCCCTTTCTGTTGACTAGATGCCTCCTTTGCTTCCTCTGGGGACAGAGGACAAACATAGAAACCCCAGAGAGGACAGAGCACAGCAGGGGTGAGCGGGTGACCCGCCGTCACCAGTGAGGCTTTCCCAGCACAGCCATCCCATCCCCTGCAGCACAAAGCCAAGCAGCCTGAGCCGGCTGCCTTGGCAAGTTCTGCACGTGTACCTAACCTCAGAGGGAAGGTTGCTTCGGGGCAGGGACCTCACCTGGGGTCCCGGGGCTGACAGAGCAGAAGGTGTCCCCATGCCTTAACAGAGGGCTTCCCAGAGCTGGGCTAGGACGAGGCCACAGCTCAGGACACAAAAGACCCCAGTGAAGTGATGAACTTGACATAGGAAGTACCAGGGCTGCTACAGAGCGTCTGTTACTTCTGACCCTGGGCAGACACAGTCCGCCAGCAGAACAGAGATGCACCGAGCCTGTGTCCACACCTCCAACCACCTTGCCCTGCCTACGGGCAGCGCTGACCACTGGAATTCATTCCCTGCCCCAAATGCGGGCCGCGGCATCCCAGCCTGTGTCAGAGGGTGGAGAAGGCTCGCTGGATGTTGCACTTGTTCAGTTAGCGGTGGCAGTGGCTGTAACCCACATCACTGCTCATCCTCCCAACACATCTAGCAGCAGGGATGTGTCTTATAAGTCTGTAAGAGCAATACAGCCTGGAAAATCTGGTTTCCAGACATGCCAAGATTTCCTTTTGGTGCCAGGCTTCCAGCTGAACATGGCCACCAGACCCCAAGCCCAGCCCTGGCTGGAGGTGCTGGCAGCCCAGCCTGCACAGGTCAGGACCTTCTCTGAAGGTCTCCCTGCCACACAGCAACTTGTGGCATGTGTATGGCCCATCCACTCCATCCCTCTTTTTACCTTTCCAGCTCCGATCACCTTCTCAGCTGCATATACTGCTTGACCGCAGCGAGGGCACCCATCAGCACCTCCAACTTTCTGGGCCATTCTGGATGCATTAGGGTTGGTGGGTCGGTGGGGCTGGCCCCTGTGGATGGGAGGGAGTTCATGATCAGGGTTGTATAAGCAAGACGGAGGAGGGAAGAGTTACAGGATCACAAATCCCAGCCCAGTTTTGAAGGGCCCGGAGGTTTAGGCACAGCGTGTTGAGCCCCATGGAAACTTCAGACTCGTGGCTGCATGGTAGGAGGAGATGGGCAGCATGCTCAGGCAATGGGGACATGTCCCGTCAAGCCCCATCCC